TCCCGTCGCTGGCATGCCCACTACAGGCGGACGGATGGAACAGACTCGGCCAAAGGGGATTTGGTTGGGGCCAGAACTACAGAGGCCTTCATCTATGTGCAGGAAGAGGAAAGGTGACCAGTCTTCCCCACACTTCCAGCATGCCGGTTTACGACCTATAACAATTATCGCATCTTCTGGCCCTTTACATCCAGACAGTTGGGGATGGAACGGAAGGCATCTTGATTGATCATGATCTCTAAGCTCCACCCCCCGTCAGATCATCTGACGAAGCACTGAGTATCTGGCCAAACTGGCCCAGATAAGCAGCCAAGTGCTCACCGACAATCTGAGGAGGAACCTCATATACCGGAACATTGGTCCTCCGCCTGCCTTTCATTTTCGGTACGTCCTCAGAATCAGGTCTTTGGTGATAAGATCTCGAGTAGCAGCAGCTTCACAGTCGGCAGGCGTGGGTAACAGTCGTCCCACATAAAAAATCCTTTCCTTTTTCACAACTCTCTGAGCTTTAATGCCCAGAGAATATAATGCTTTAATAACAGTGTCTTTAGTGGAGCGACAAATCTTGCGCGAATGCCTGTCGACCACAAAGACTGACACAATTCTTTTTTCAACCTTTCTCAATTCCTCGGGATTAGGCAAGAGCCCATCTGCTGTCACCAGATGTGCGTAGCTCTTAGCCCTCTCGAGGAACTCCGTAATGTTGATTTTGCAACTTCCAGCATGAGGGCGTCTCTCCGGCCGCTATGTTTCCGTCGTTATTCTGGGATGTCTTATCGGTTGATTTTTGGCTGTTTTCAGCCACCATACTCTTGTCACATGGGCTGATTTTATTTTCAGCATCTTGGCTGCTTTCAGCCACCATATTCTGGTCTGGAACACTTGGCTCAATGTCAATATTTTGGCCGTTTGAGGCCTCCATACTTTTATCTAGACTCTTATTTTTCTCCTCTAAATTATCATCATTAGGGGACACCATACTTTTTCCTCCACATTTGCACTTTCTTGCGAATCTAATTCTTTATCAGGAGGGTCTTTTTCTTTTTTTAGAACCAAACAGGTTCTTTTTTTACAGTTTTCTTGGGACCCATTTTAAAAACGGGTCTTTTTTTTTTTTTTTTTTTTTTTTTTTCCTTTTTTTTTTCCTTTCACATAAAAAGTATAATTTCAAAGAAAGATGAATAAGAATAAATCACAAAAAGAAATTCAACGAGACAGAACAATAAACAGTTAAACAGGAAATAATAAGTTACAAAAAATACGTATATATAAAACGACAAAAAATATATCAAAATAAAAAACAATTAACAATTACAAATTACAAAACAGTGAGAACAAAATGAAAATCACAATTTAAGACGAGAAAAAAAAAGGTATCTTTTTTTTCACAATAATACAAATAAAAATAAAACAAAAAATGCCAAACGAGTTCAAAATAAAAATGCCAAAGCAAAAAACTAGTCAGCCCACAAAAAATACGTAAACAAAATAAAGAACTAACTAATAGAAAAATAAATGCTAAATAAATGCAAAAATTTACAATAAACACAGAAAAGACTTAAATAAAGGAATACAGAATAAATAACAGTTATTTAACAGCAAAGAAACACTGAAAACACGTAGAAATAAAAAATGTAAACAAAGGTTTTCTTAGGAGCAACAATGAAAAAATAAAGTTTGGTGGGGGAAGTTACTGAAAAGGGAAAAGTGTTCCCAAAAAAAAGTCCCGCTCAAGAAAACCAAGGGATAAAGTATAAAAATAGAGGGGAGGAAAAAAAAAAAATCAAATCAAACTTTTGGCAAATCAAATCAAACTTTTTGGTAAAAAAAGTCAATAAACTGAACGAAATAAAATTTTGAGAAAAAAACAAAGGGTTGAAATCAAAAAACAGTTCGTAAAATCATCTCCGGTCGATATTAAATAACTCTCCTCAAAGAGGTTGGGAAGAGCTCATCCAAACAATTAAAAAAAACTAAACAGGCAACCTTAGGTGGTGGGGAAAGTGACTGAAGCTGAGGTGCCAGATCAGGACCAATTTTGCTGATTCTTCTTTGGATTTTATCAAGAATCTCTAAATATATAGCAGGAGCACCAGACCAGGTTTATTCAAAGCATGGATGAATGGTAGACTTATAAATATGACAGGATTCTGGAGAGAAACATTGCAGATTCCTCTTTGATTTTATCAAGAATCTCTAAATATATAACAGGAGCACCAGACCATATGTGGAGTATTCAAATGGATGAATGGTAGACTTATAAATATGTAAGATAGATTCAGAAGATAAAATTGTCTAGCATGACACAATGAACCAAATTGTGTAGCACAGGTTTGGATTCAATATAGTCTTTCCAATTTATGTCAATCCAAGAATGTTTTTGTGAAGGTGAAATTGTGTTCCTGAAGGTTTGCATCAGCCATGAAATTGTGTAGACAGGTTTCAGATGAATAATGGAGAAATTTAATTTTGGAGACAGGTTTCGTGGAGTTAAATATAGGGTGTGTACAGGTTGTGGCTGAATGGTTAGAATGTGTTTCCAACCATGACCAGAGTTTGTGGTCCATTTGTCAAAAGGTGTTAGACAGGTTTGTTTTGGAAAGTGAAAAACCACAGCATGGGTGTGTCCTGGTAAGACAAACTACGGTTTAAGTTTGAGGAGCATGAATCACCTTTTTAATTGTGGTGTTCCCAGACAGGTGGTTGTTTTGAAGAAAAAAAATTATCACCAGAAATTTTTTGAAAAATATTACCAGGTTTTTGAGAAAAAAATATTACCAACAATAAAAAATCATCTCGACCTAGGTTTATACCGTAAAACAAACTAAACAGCACAGGTGAAATTGTGTAGACAGGTTTGTGAGTGAAATTGTGTAGACAGGTTTGTGAGTGAAATTGTGTAGACAGGTTTGTGAGTGAAATTGTGTAGACAGGTTTGTGAGTGAAATTGTGTAGACAGAAATATTTAGGAGACATCGACGTTTGAGCTAGTATAAATTCGCAAGTCATCGTGACTGAGTGTTTGAGTGTACTGACCTTGTTCAGACCATTGATCACACCAGATAATGTACTCTCTTCCAAAAAAGATCAAGTCAACATAATTACAGTATAAACCACAGGCGGCTCAGTGGGTGTGGAAGAAATATATGTGCCTGAGCAGGCGTCTGCAATAGGGATTGACTAGCTGACAGGCTGAGTGGACCTTTACTTGTCTGTCATATTCAATGAAATGTGCATATATATATATATATATATATATATATATATATATATATAAATGTTAGATTCTGACCATGAGGCACGGGTTTGTATCTCACCATGGTCAATATGTCAGGAAGGGAACTTCCTGATGTCATCAAACTGAGGGGTCAATCCCAGCATGCAGTACCTTTGGAAAGTGTCTGAAAACCATATCACGAGTTGACCCAAGCCTTGTGAATGAAATTGGGTAAGCAGAACCCTTGGGCTCATGGATTGCTGTGCTAGCACAGTCACAAGTCATCGTGGACGACAGATTGAGTGTGCTGGCCTTGTTCAAGTTGTTAATCACGCTAGATAACGCGCTCTTTCCCAGAAAGGTCTGCTCACCATAGTTGCAGTATAAACCACAGGTCAGCTCTGTGGATGTTGAATGAACACAAATGCACCTGAGCAAGCATCTGCAATGGAAATTGGCTAGCCGCCCTAGTAGACAGGTATCCTCGAATACAAGTGGCAAGCTATACATATACGCGCACACACACATACACACACATATATATATATATATATATATATATATATAGTTTTAAGATATGCTATATTTCTCAGCAAAAGTGCTCAATATCAGAGATGGACCGTATGTATATATAAAGTGGCAGCAGTCTGTTTCATGCTTGAAAGCAATCTTCAGGCCATGTGTGTTGTTTTGGCTCAACTATATATGCTGGTCAATAGGGCATTATGTATAGAAGATCTAGTGTATTATCCTCATCGTTATTGGAGAAATCACAAAACACTGTCGGTTACAGTGTCGCAATCAATAACTATGTAACATTGTTTTAGAAAATTTCTCTTTCTAGAATTTTTCTTTAATTATTGAGAATATTCAAACCCCTTTTTGTAAAGTTTGTATTTAATTTAGTTTTTTCTTTTAATTTTAGTTTTTTGAATTATAAGTGCTTCAAAAAATTAAAACCTTTGTTTGATATTAACATTATATAAAATGCAAGTATTATCCCCCATTGTAGGTTTTATATTGGTGGGAATTGAAATGTTTTTGTTGTTATAGTTACATTAAATCCAAAATTTAAAAAATTAAGATTTTTTTTTCTTATTGTCATTCTTATACCAATTTATCTTATCCATAGAATTATTCTGGGAAATTTTATTATATTGTCATCATGGAAAACTAAAAAAACAAACTCTTAGTATAAAAGAAGTTACCATTATTCAGAAAGAGGTTTACGCAAGAGCGTCTCTCTTTTTTAAATTAGTGGGAATATATCTATTCTTGGGAAAGATAGGGAAGTGATACCTCCTTACATTTTCCATGATATTTTAATTTATAATTGCCTTTCTACTAGATCGGTTACCACCCAAGGCTAGATAAGTTTGCCCTGTTACTTTACACATATCTGGAGGTATGGGGAAGAGATCGATTCATGCCTTTCCCGTATCGTTCATCAATTTGAACTCTTGAATTGTCCGTATATTTTATTTCTGGAATTGGGGAAAATAAATAGATTCATATTACCTCCGAGAACATTACTGGTTTGAATTCAAATTTAGTTTTCACCTAGACTGGGTTCCAACCAAAGCTCAGTAGACCAGCCTGCACTATTATTTTACTCATATTTAAAAGTGAGAGAATAAAATGGATTCATGCTTTTTTGATGGACATTACGGTTTTATTTCAATTTTATTTTAAAATTTTTACCTTGTCATTTGTATCCCCTTACTTCTTTATATAATGAATATCTTAATAATTCCTGTTCATCAAGAATGTTTTCTCACTTCAGGGAGTGAATTCCTGCCAGTCGAGGTTGCCAATGAGAGCATGAGCAGAATGAATGAAGTCATTAACATGTCCCAGGTAAGTCTGTGATCAAAACATTCTAAACACCTGTTGCCGTTATTGTTTAAAACGGATGGCATTCATAACAGAAAATGTCATTTGCTTGAAAACTGGCTTCACTTAACTCATTAAAGTCAATTCTGCACTTCATCGAATGGCTCATTTCGTCAAAAGATTGAAAGTTAGAAAATGAAAGGGAGGTAACTCTTATATAATGAAGAGTGCTTTTTTTTAAATTGTGCATCATTTAAAACTTTTGTTGTTTACTTAGAATAAATAAGTACCTTTTTCTTCATCACTTCTCTGAATTCTTCATTCACATTACAATATTGCTTAATATTTTATTTTTTATTCTAGGAATATATAGGCATGTGGCTGAGTGGTTAGAGCATTCACATTCTTGACTATGAGACCCAGGTTCAAATCTCACCTTGGCCAATTTGTCAGGAAGGAGACTTCCTGATATTATCGGTCTGGGGGGTCAATCCCAGCATGCAGCAGCTTTGGAAAGTGTCTGAAAACCATACCATGGGTTGACCCAAGCCTTGTGTGAAATTGGGTAGATGGAACCCTTGGGGGCTGTCAATAGCTGTGCTAGCATGAAGTCACAAGTCATCGTGGCCGAGGGTTTGAGCATGCTGGCCTTATTCAAATTGTTGATCATGCTCAATAATATGCTCTTTTCCAGAAACTACAACTAAGGTCTGCTCAGTATAGTTGCAGCATAAACCACAGTTATGCTCTGTGTTTGTTGAATAAACACAATGCACCTGAGCAAGTGTCTGCAATAGGGATTAGCTAGCCACCCTAGTAGGCGGGTATCCTCACTCAAATACAAGTGGCCAACTATACATTCTAGGAATATTTAAAAACAATTAAAAAATGGCAAAAAACAAACCCAATTAAATATTTGTCCTATTTTTGTTTTTTAACTTTTTAATCATTTCACCCCAAGTAAGGCGATAATGCCACTAAGATGCAAGGGGTTACTGGGCATGAAAGAGAATGAGAACTTTAATGAGGAGAAAGGACAATAAAAGAACAGTTTAATGTTGATTGCCTTTAAATTTTTTAAGATTGAAGGTGGCCAGGATGCAAGAAATTGGGAAAGAGTTCCAGAGGTGAGAAGGTCGAAAAAAAAGAAACTATTAGGATAAAACTTATGGTTATATATATATATATATATATATATATATATATATATACATACATATATATATATATGTTATATATCAAAAGTAAAACAATGAAACCTAATTGCCAGTCTAGTAGTATGCTTAAATTTGTGCTACCGAGGTACCAAAGAGGAGCGTTTTTTAGAACTGCTATGAAAATATTTATGGAAAAGACAAAGGTATGCCACATCTCGGTGATGGGTAAGTGACTGAAGTTGAGAAATTATTCTTTTCCAGACTCTTTCTTGGATTTTTGTAAGAATCTCAAGTTATGTTGTCAGAGCACCAGACCAGATATGGCAGTCGTATTCAATACACAGACAAATGTCAGAATTATAAATGTGGAAGATTGATTCTCACCAGCAAAACTGCTTTTTAAAACAAAGAAAATTACCAAAATTACAAGGATAAAATTTTTTTTATTTTTTTTTTTTTTTATTTCACCCCAACTAAGGCAATAAAGTCACTAAGGAGCAAAGGGTTACTGAGTGTGAAAGAATGGGGGAAAAACAAACATCATTAAAGAGAGAACAATAAAAGAAGAGGAATTAAGAAGACAGAAGATAACGATTGACATTGTATTGAAATTTTTGAAGATCAAAGTTGACTGGAAAGTAAGAAGACAGTTCCACAAAGAAGAAGCTGTTAGCATAAAACTTATGGTTACATCTAGCCATTTCAACTATAAAAGGATGAGACCTAGACGCAAAACTAGTACTGCACTTAAATTCATAAAGTCTTGGTACCAGAGAGTAAAGCTAATATACAGTAATTGGTGTCGAGAGAAAAAAAAAAAAACATCCTTTTGACACACTATTTTGTGAGTATGTTTTGTTAAACTTTGTTCCCCCCCTTTTTTTGTTTTGTTTTGTTTTGTTTACTCTTTAACATTTTCTTCAAAAATTTGTTCTTTCTGTGTCGGCAAAAGTTAAAATTATCAGAATTTGTTAATTCATTATTTCAAACAAAGAGGCCCTCTGTCTCTCAGGTGAAGGGGGGTGCAAAAACTGGCGTTACAATATTTTGATATCCTCTTATTTCCTGCAAATCTTTCAGAACGTTGACTAAGGGAATATTGATATGGACCCATAATCAATTACCTGTCAAAAGTGTTTTTTCTTCGTCTGGAATTTTTTCTATTGCCAGACAAATTCATTAAAAGTGTAAATCTGAGCCATGTGTTTTCCAAGGGAACAGATAAGAACTATGTCCAGTCGTCCAGCATCGTACTGGCTGATTTTTAGGTTTAGCAAAATTTCCTATCTCATGTTTCACTTCTGGGTTTGGCAAAAATTTTGAATCCTACCCACTCCACTTCTCAGTGCAATTTTTTTTTTTTTTTTTTCCTAAATGAAAAAACAAATATTGCAAAAAGAAATAAAAATAATTTTTTAACTTGTAAAATCCAAGTTAGCCAACTTTTGCAAATCCACCTTGTAAAATCCAAGTTAGCCAACTTTTGCAAATCCACCTTGTAAAATCCAAGTTAGCCAACTTTTGCAAATCCACCTTGTAAAAAAACTTTTGCAAATCCACCTTGTAAAATCCAATTAGCCAACTTTTTGCAAATCCACCTTGTAAAATCCAAGTTAGCCAACTTTTTGCAAATCCACCTTGTAAAATCCAAGTTAGCCAACTTTTGCAAATCCACCTTGTAAAATCCAAGTTAGCCAACTTTTGCAAATCCACCTTGTAAAATCCAAGTTAGCCAACTTTTGCAAATCCACCTTGTAAAAAATCCAAGTTAGCCAACTTTTGCAAATCCACCTTGTAAAATCCAAGTTAGCCAACTTTTGCAAATCCACCTTGTAAAATCCAAGTTAGCCAACTTTTTGCAAATCCACCTTGTAAAATCCAAGTTAGCCAACTTTGCAAATCCACCTTGTAAAAATCAAGTTAGCCAACTTTTGCAAATCCACCTTGTAAAATCCAAGTTAGCCAACTTTGCAAATCCACCTTTGTAAAATCCAAGTTAGCCAACTTTTGCAAATCCACCTTGTAAAATCCAAGTTAGCCAACTTTTGCAAATCCACCTTGTAAAATCCAAGTTAGCCAACTTTTGCAAATCCACCTTGTAAAATCCAAGTTAGCCAACTTTGCAAATCCACCTTGTAAAATCCAAGTTAGCCAACTTTTGCAAATCCACCTTGTAAAATCCAAGTTAGCCAACTTTTGCAAATCCACCTTGTAAAATCCAAGTTAGCCAACTTTTGCAAATCCACCTTGTAAAATCCAAGTTAGCCAACTTTTGCAAATCCACCTTGTAAAATCCAAGTTAGCCAACTTTTGCAAATCCACCTTGTAAAAATCCAAGTTAGCCAACTTTGCAAATCCACCTTGTAAAATCCAAGTTAGCCAACTTTTGCAAATCCACCTTTGTAAAATCCAAGTTAGCCAACTTTTGCAAATCCACCTTGTAAAATCCAAGTTAGCCAACTTTTGCAAATCCACCTTGTAAAATCCAAGTTAGCCAACTTTTGCAAATCCACCTTGTAAAATCCAAGTTAGCCAACTTTTGCAAATCCACCTTGTAAAATCCAATATTTATGAGGCATGAACTCATAAGGACTACAGGGAAAAATCAATTAACCTATCTAACAACTGGGTATTGTAAGCAACTTCTTACTAGCTGAAATATGGCTTATCAACCCACAATGGGTTGATAAGCTATAAAAAATACAAATCCATCAGCTGTTATATAAATGTATCCCAGAGCAGAGGATGGTATAGGGTCAAACGTTACTTAAAGCTGCAAATGACAGCTGAAGAGAGTCATGATCACCCACATCCTGAAAGGACATGGCATATGAAATAAAATCTGCAGATGCAACCAATCCATACTAAAAAATAGAGCCATAATTTAGCTTCAGCCAAATAATGAGGTCAGCTTACCTAAATTCTGAAGTCAAAGGTCATGAAGATTAATATCAGAAAATGCTTGACAGACAAGTCTATAGGTCAGGATTTATTGTTCTATTGAAAAGCCTTTAAAAATGTACCAATTCCATAAATAAAATTGTTAGATCTGCTTTACCATTACAACTGAGGCTATCATGAAATTCTCTGCAAAGATACAGAATTGTGAGGTTAAACTGTTCATCTGATTGTTTCTTTTTATTATGACAAAAATGTATCTTCCGACAAGAGTTGAAGAAATATCAGAGGTTGGATTTTCTAATAATTGTAGAATCAATGATTATTTCCAATTATGGGAATGAAGATGAAAGAAATCCTAGTGAAAAATGAAGAATGCTTGATCTAATGAAAATTGCAGATAATATTACTACTACTAATACTACTAGTGGAAATAAAGCAATTGAAATGAAGATGAAAGAAATCCTAGTGAAAAATGAAGAATCCTTGACAATACTTGATCTAATGAAAATTGCAGATAATATTACTACTAATAATACTACTAGTGGAAATAAAGCAATTGAAATGAAGATGAAAGAAATCCTAGTGAAAAATGAAGAATGCTTAACAATGCTTGATCTAATGAAAATTGCAGATAATATTACTACTACTAATACTACTAGTGGAAATAAAGCAATTTGAAGATGAAAGAAATCCTAGTGAAAAATGAAGAATGCTTGAAATGAAATGAAAATTGCAGATAATATTACTACTACTAATACTACTAGCTTAAAGCAAATTGAAGATGAAAGGAATCTAGTGAAAAATGAAAATACTTGACAATGCTTGATCTAATGAAATTGCAGATAATATTACTACTACTAATACTACTAGTGGAAATAAAGCAATTGAAGATGAAAGAAATCCTAGTGAAAATGAAGAAAAATGATCTAATGAAAATTGCAGATAATATTACTACTACTAATACTACTAGTGGAAATAAAGCAATTGAAGATGAAAGGAATCCTAGTGAAAAATGAAAAATGCTTAACAATAGTAAAAATTGAAGATAATATTACTAATACTACAAGTGGAAATAATAATTTTCCCCCCCCACCTCCTTTTAATTCTTTCACCTCCCACTTTGTTTGTTCCATCCTCTGGCCTCTTTTTAATTCCCACACCCTAACCTCATTTTAATTCTTAGTAGGACTTGTATAAGTAAAATCATTATTATCTCCAGAAAGAATCTAAAAAGATTTTCTGGCTTTAAATAACCAGCAAAAGGTTGATAAGCTGTAAAAAAAAAAAAAAAATCAATAAAACCAACAAGTGTTGATATATTTTTGAATTAACTGACCTAACAACCAGAATTGGTTCTTGATGAATATATTCAGAATATGTTATGCAACCGAAAACTCCATTTGCCTTGCTTTCAAACTTTTTATTATTTAAAGCGCATACTTTTCAGTTCATCTAAAGTGAAGTCGGTAGGTTCAGCAGTCATTTTCCTTTCTTTCTTAAGTTTTATTTGATACGACAATTAATGTCACCCTAGAAAAAAAAAACAGCTTAAAATTCAATTCCAATTCACGTCATCAAATATTATTGAGTGTACAGTATGAACAATAAATTTCATGTGCCATAGATTTCTCGCCCAAATCTCTTGACATTATAAACCATTTGAAAATAGTGAATGTGACTTTATGCAAATTGGATTCAGCCATGCAAGGCATACTGAAAAATTTAACTTTTTTCAAATAAAATGAAATATGGCAGGCTGTTTATAAGTAGTGCGACTTTCAGTATTATCAACATTTTCCTGTTCAATTGTTCATTGTGGATTCATATTAGACTCTTCACTTGCCATCTCTTTTTTACTTGTTGCCTTCACAACCTTTTAATTTGTTCCTCCCCTCCTCCTTTTAATTTGTTCCTCCCCTCCTCCTTTTTAATTTGTTCCTCCCCTCTTCGTTTTAATTTGTTCCTCCCCCTCTTCGTTTTAATTTGTTCCTCCCCTCTTCGTTTTAATTTGTTCCTCCCCTTCCTCCGTTTAATTTGTTCCTCCCCCCTTCCTCCGTTTAATTTGTTCCTCCCCCTTCCTCCGTTTAATTTGTTCCTCCCCCTTCCCCGTTTAATTTGTTCCTCCCCTTCCTCCGTTTAATTTGTTCCTCCCCTTCCTCCGTTTAATTTGTTCCTCAATTTCCGTTTAATTTGTTCCTCCCCTTCTCTTCCGTTTAATTTGTTCCTCACCCTTCTTTCCGTTTAATTTGTTCCTCCCCCTTCTCTTCCGTTTAATTTGTTCCACCCTTCCCCTTAATTTGTTCTCTTCTCTTCCGTTTAATTTGTTCCTCACCCTTCTCTTCCGTTTAATTTGTTCCTCACCCTTCTCTTCCGTTTAATTTGTTCCTCACCCTTCTCTTCCGTTTAATTTGTTCCTCACCCTTCTCTTCCGTTTAATTTGTTCCTCACCCTCCTCCTTTATATTCTTTATATTAGAATTTGTTGGGCAGAAAATTCCTTATTGAATTTTTCATTTTTACTGAAAATTTATTTTTTCTTTTGTTCTTTTTGCTTTTTTTATTTATTTTATTATATTTTTTCTTTTTTACATTTCCTTTACCTTTTTATTTTCCTTTTCCTTTTTATTTTCCTTTTCATTTTTTTCTCTATTTGTTTTTCTTTTATTTCTCTCTCTTTTCTCTCTCTCTTTTTCCACCTCTTTCTTTTCTTTTTAATCTCCTTTTTTTTTCTTTTTTTTTTTTCCCTTTTTCCTTTTTTTGTTTATTTTAAATTAAAGCATTGTGTTTTGTTCTCATACCAGTCTCAAGAAAAGCCTGAACGTCTTGTGCAGACTCAACATTTTCCTTTGGAGACTAGCCAACCACAACAACCACCCCCTGCTTCTTCGTATCATCCAGGTAAGCAAGCAGGAAAACAGTTTTCCATTTTTAGTTGCTTCATCTTTGCTTGAGACAAGTTGAGTGACATCAAAAGAATTTTTCTAATGTGAATTCTTTTAAGCAGGAAGCATTTCCTGCTATTTTTTTCTTTGTGTTTAAAAATAAATATGCATTTGTTCTTCACCATTTGCTGCAACTCTGATTACATGTGGCAACTGAAAACAACTAAAAAAGTTTTCAATTTTTCCATGTGCATGAAACTCAAAATTGCATTGAACTGTAAGGAACAAATGTATGTTTTTAGTGTAAATTACTCAAGTAAAGTAAAAATAACAAATTATTTTCTGCAAAAATTCAAAACAGCTAACGATATGAGCAACAACTCTCCAGTGAAATCCAAACTGGACATGGCCATTATTCATGAATTCAAATGCCCATAGGAAACTGTTCCCAACAAAATTTCTCTTTGTTTTTTTGAATAATTTACATTAGACATACCAACACTTGCTTTGAAAAAAAATGGTTTATATAAAAATCTCTCTGACCATAGCTCCCTAAGGTCTTTTTTAAAGCAACATGAAAATTTAACAACTTTGATATTCAACATACTTAGCAAAAGCACAAATATTGTAATCACACCTAACCATAAAAAAAAATTCCAAAACTAATATAATAAAAAAATAAATAAGCCATAACATCATCAATTATCAACACGAACATAATATTTTTGGAATTAAATCATCCACACAGTTGCAAGCTGATAATCAAAGTGAAAATAACCACTCTTAGATGTGTAACCAATTTACCTTCAAGTTTTGATGCGATCTGTGCAAATCCTTGAAACTATTTAGAAACATTAAAAAAAAAAACTAGTAGAAGGCTCACTAAATTGTGTTTTTTGAAGGTACGGTGCCTAGAAGTAAAGGAAAACTAAAACAGAAATGGAGGGATAACATAATTTTGTGGCCCACAACTATCAAGTGTCAGACATGAAAGAAGCTTGCTCAAGATCATAGTTAATGGCGGAAATAAGTTTTGTTTGTTTGCAATTGGCCACGGAAGGCATGGTGGAGAAATGGATTGCAGCTAGGATTGAGGAATCAGACAGGCATGTTTGAATTTCAGTTCATTACATTACATTTACTTATGTGCTAATACCCTTGGGAAAGGGTATGAATCCATCTATCCTCCTCCCCCCCAGCTATGGGTAAATAGCAGGACAGACTGGATTTTCTAGCCTTAGATGGCAACCAGTCTAGTAGAAAGAAAAACACAATTCAAAACCATCCTGAAAGGGTTGGGTTCCATCAGGCAGTCATGCCCAGAACGTACCATTTCTACTGCAGCTGCAGTACATGCAGCACCTCTACAACTCTGATGAGTTATGGGACTCCTGTTCACGAATCTGCCACAAGTAGAAACTGAGTAATAATGATGATGATTATTGAATACGATTGCTGAGGAATAATTTTTAATTTTCCTTTTTTCTTTTTTTTTCTTTTTTTTAATAGATTTCTTTCTTTTTTTTAATCTGTTTCAAGGCAGTAAAGACACAAGGCATTACAGGCTGTGGAAGAATTAGAAACAGAAACATTAATAATGAGCGGGAAGAGAAAAGAGTAATCAGGAGGACAGTAGATAGCGATTTGCATTGCATTTAAATTTTTGCAGATTAAAGTTGGCTGGAAAGCATGGAGCCGGAAAGGAGTTCCACAAGTAAGAGAGTAAAGCCACTAAGACACAAGGGGTTACAGGGTGTGGAAGAATTAGGAACAGAAACATTAATAATGAGTAGGAAGAGGAAGAAGTAATCAGGAGGACAGTAGATAGTGACTGACTGTATTTAAATTTTTGCATATTAAAGTTGGCCGGAAAGCATGGAGCCGGGAGGGTGTTTCAAAATCAAGAAGTGCTAGAAAAGAAACTGTTAGCATAGAATTTACGGTTACATCTAGCCAGCTCAACTGTAAATTGATGAGATCCTGACACTGGTCTAGTACTGCACTTAAATTAGAGAGTCTAGGTACCATTTCGAAGAGCTCGGCCAAACAATTATCATGAAAGTATTCGTAGAAAAGACACTGAGAGACTGCCTTATGGTGGTGGGAAAGTGATTGAAGCTGATGCGCCAGATCAGTACTGATAATATTACTAATTCTTCTTTGGATTTTATCAAGAATCTCTAAATATATAGCAGGAGCACCGGACCATATGTGGCAGCAATATTCAAAGCATGGATGAATGGTAGACTTATAAATATGTAAGATAGATTCTGGAGAGAAACATTGCAGATTCCTCTTTGGATTTTATCAATAATCTCTAAATATATAGCAGGAACACCGGACCATATGTGGCAGCAATATTCAAAACATGGATGAATGGTAGACTTATAAATATGTAAGATATATTCTGGAAAAAAAATTGTCTAGCATGACACAGTGAACCGAATTTCTTAGCAGCTGACATAGCGATAGATTCAACTTAATCTTTACACTTATAACGCGCATGTTTGTGTTTGTGTGTGTATTTAGGCAGCTAATTCTCTTTTAGGCATGTCTTATTGAATAAATTACAAAAATTATGTCTGCTTATTTTCATCATAATCCTTTCATATCCACGAATATTTTTTCCATATATTATGATTTCTTGCCTTATTCAATTGTAATAGAGGGACAAATATTTTTGAATATGAAAGGATTAGGATAAAAATAAGCAGACATAATATTTGTAATTTATTCAATCATATATATATATATATATATATATATATATATATATATATATATGTGTGTGTGTGTGTGTAATTCATAGTCTAGAAAATCCAGAAAACACTGGATGACCATTTCATCCTATTTGGGATTCATCAGCAGTACGATCCACTACCAAGAATCAAACCTGGACTGTTTTGATACAATGCAAGTGTCATACCAACGGGCCTCGTGACAAAGAAGAAACTGACTACACTTGATATAGCGCTGCTACTCACTCAGTTCCGTGGGGATACTCCTCCAAGTATACAAAACCCAACGGCTTGTGCCCCAAGAGCCATGTCATCTTTTATATATATATATATATATATATATATATATATATATAAATAAAAAGGAAGAACAGTAAGATATATAATCCAGTGTTCTTATTGATATTTTTTATTTTTACAAAACAGTGCTCAATGTAAATTTACAGAGCATAAATATTATAAGTTAACTGATTTAAAATATGGTTTTTTTCGCTACACAGTAATAACCATGTTTCAAAAACTAAAGCTAAAAATTAAAAAGCATTAGTTCCATTTCATCTTCAAGCGAATATTGGAATAACTTTTTTTAAAATTTACTGAGTTTTAAATGCACATATAAATTCATAATTTCCTGTTTCCAAAGATACAGAGAAATTCAATCATTTAGACAGGAGTGGTAGCATGTTCATTTTTATTAACTATTGTTGTATCAATTATGAGTTACGTTCGAAAAAGAGGTTAAGTTTAGGGAGGGTAGGGGTGTATTTTTCAACAAATTCTGGCATCCGTTAAATGCATGTCATCTGTTTTTTTTTTTTTTTATTAATGGCAAAAAGTTTCTCGGCATTTTTTTCTTACTTGTATACTTAGATTCTTTCTCGTGGTGTTTGGGTTAGAATACGTTTCATTTAACTACAATTTTAAAATATTTTTACTCTTAATTACTAAATAGACTATATTTCTTTTTAAAACAAGTAAATATAATAGAATTACTTAAATTATTTAAAATTATTTTTTCATATCAAATATAAGTATGCATATTACCAGCTCACATTTTTTTAATTTTATTTTTAGATATTATTTAAGGAAAATTTTTGACAATGATGGCAAAAGATAGCTATTTCATTTCTCTGATTCAGTAAATTTTTATTTTTTATAAACTTAGTAATATATAGTTTCTCGTGTGTGTG